GGGGGGGGGGGGGGGGGGGGAGTTATATCCTAAAGTCCCCACATTTAGGAAAAAACAGTCTCAAGGCAGTTAAGAGGCGTGGTCGCTACCTATACTCCCCCTCCTCCACAATGGGTTCGCTAAGATCTGCACAGAGCCACCATTGCTAACCACAGATTGGTACACTGAAACAAGTGTTGGGGAAAAATCATTTGGTAATATTTAATACCGGGAATTGCAATACAAGTTTTTTTTTTTCTTTATATATATATATATATATATAGTTTAGTTATATATTAATATTAATTACTGAACCATATACAAATGACCATGATTGGAAATGGGCCCCCTTAATTGAGATATTTAAAAAAAATATTTATGATAACAATGAATGGGATCTTCCTTCTTTAAAAGATTACATAAATCTAATGACTCAAATGAATGTTAGAAAAGCAGTATGCCTAAATATCTTTATAAGCTATTTTTTATCAGTTAACAGACACATATTCAAAAGTAAATAAGGCAGAGACGAAATAAAAAGGCAACAGTATTTTATTTAAATATTATGCTATTTAAATTTTTTTTTGGATCAATACCAATTTGTAAGTATGCAAAAGGGAAAACTTATTCTTAATAAGCTATGAAAGAATTTTGCATGCTTTGAACACATTATTTTTTTTTACATTAAGTTGGATGAGGACTATTTTTAACCAGGGATAATTTTCTCATAAGTACCCAGTCTGCATAGATGGCATTATCACAATTTATTTTCTTTCTTTATAAAATCACTTATGAAACCAGAATCAAGGCATCCTTTTTTTTTTCATCCTTAAATGATGCATCATTATGTCTGCATCATCTGTTCATCAAATTTAAAACTTGATCAGCACATATGCATATGCCCAGGACTAAAAATGATAAAATGCACAAATGTCTTTAAAACTGTTTCAAATTTCATTACCTTCAAGATTTTCAGATGAGGACTTGAAGTCCTTGCAAAAACTTGTCACCGGTACAATTGTATTTGTTTAGTGATTTTTTTTGTCAGTATTGCATTTAAAATGTATAATTTAAATACTGATAAACATATGGTTACCGTCAGTCCCAATGATATATACAAATATGACAATCAGTATTATTTTTAAAAATAACAAGCTTAATAAATTGAGAATGAAATGACCACTTTTGGGATATAAAGTTTAACTAACAACAGGCATAAAAAATGTTAAACCTAAAAAATAATGACTGACTTTATTTATTGACATCACAACTAAGCACACACAAAAATTCAGATATAAATTTGAAACACATTTTCTGTTTAATTTTTTTTCTACTGACTTTATATGATGGAACTCTTTTCTGTTAATGTACAGCCTTATCTTAATTATACAAAATCGGTTTAAAAATTTTAAGTTTTTTTACATGTAATTCTGTTTCCAGCCTCTGATGACTTAATTTTTTAGCTAAAATCTTTCCAATGATTCATTTCCCTGTTAAAAGACAGTATTATTGTTTCGTGGGAAATATGAAATTACACTGTCCAATATTGTATTTATTAAAACAAACATAGCCAAAAGGACTTGCTATAAAAGATCCCTTGCAGGGATCTTGACAGGGGTCACTTAGTTGATGGGAAGTAGGGCCCTGTTGATATAGATGTGCATTCTTAATTTTTATAAGTTTCATGGTCAAATTTTTGGTGGAGTTTTGCTAAATGACCTAGGAGGAAAATTGTACTCTACCAGTAGGGAAGATTTTTTAAAGTATTATAAATTATTTTTCTTCATCATTAAATTTTTGGTCTCCTAAGCTACAAACAAAAAATTTTTTATAAATGAATATTAATTATTATGGAACTCTTAAAAAATATATTTTTTGACATAAGTACACTTTACATGTCAATTTGTAGCATAATGCATAAATATTAGCCTATATTGAAAAAAACACATTATGAAGTCCCTTTGACCATTGCTGTGGTAAACTGTGTTTTGTGTAGCAGAATTTGAATGAAATACGGGGATTAGTTTATACATGAATTATATGGGAACTATCAGTAGAGCTGATTATGCTATCTATTGCTTATCTGCCCCCCAAAAATATTTCCTGAAAAATTAAATTTAGAAATATTTTTAGATAAGACATGTAATCTCCCATTCACTTAAAAATGTTAAGCACTTCACACTGATTTCTTTTGCATTGTATTCAAAGTTGATGTTCCACGAGGTCATGATATCATGGTGATTGAATATTCCATCTCAGCTAGGTCACGATTTTATGTTGAACATGGACACTGAGACCTGGTGAAGAGTAAATAATTCTTAAATTATGAAATTCCTAAAGAAAATCAATGTATCATAAATCTAAACATTTATACAAATACAATTCTGGCTTGTTGTTTTTTATCTTTTGCATCGGAAGATGACCAAGGCTATATCCATGCTGAGTTTTACAGGTAGCTTGAAAGCTTTCCTGCCTACAGGAGACACATTGTTTTGGTTCTATTTGGAATTAGTCGATTCTGCTTTTCCTTTCCATGCACTTTCTTTGGGCATGAGCGGTGCATTTATTCTCCAAGGATTGTGCTCCAACAGTGAGTCTGTCATGCCAGCTAGTACGATGCATAGCAATTAATTTACCACAAATCAAGGTCAACTGCCTTTCTTTTGAGTGAAGCTTTTACATAGTCCTTGAAACTATTTTTCTGCCCACCATTTACGCATTTCCCACTGGAGAGTTCACAGAAAATAGATGTTTGGGAAGTCTGCTTTTTGGCGTTCTTGTAACATTCTCTTCCCATCTGGCTTGTCATTTTTATAGGAGCATGTGGATGCTGATAAAACCAGACCATTGTATGACATCTGTATGAGGGTCTTTGTCTGCAACGTTGTCAAAATGTTAATGTAGACAGCGTAGGTAGAGATGGTTTAGCTGTATAGCAAGTCTCTGTAAACTGTCAATGTCTTGTTAGCATATTGTAGAGATGTTAATATGATTTCACGTTGAATGACATTGATTAATAATGTCCAAAATAAAGTTGAGAAGACCAAGTCCAGAAATTTATATCAAGCTTAATTTCCAAAAGCTTAAAAGCACAAGCAAAGATGACAATTTGTCAAACTCAAATGCAGGCTGAGCGAGGAAAATAAAAATATTGATTTGAAATGTTCTAAATTGAGAGGTACTATCTTCTCTACTGCTTTAGAACACCATGGACCAATAAAAAGCATAAACAAGGAATGGTTTGATTAAAATGATAATGAGATAGTGACTACTAAACCTCAAGTGCAGACATTTTATCAGACCAATCCCTACATCACAGGTACAGAAAGATGTTCTATGCAAAATAAAACAGAAAATGCTAAAGAAATTTTATGAAACTCAGGATTCATGGCTCAGAAGGAAAGCTAATGAAATTCAGGCTAATTTCAATATAACTGATACCAAATTTGAATGTTTCTACAATTTTGGCTACTGTCAAACTATCAGCTGATATTTTTTTTAAATTTTCAATTTAAAATAACGTCAACGTTTTCAGCCAGCTCTTCAGCAAAGGTGGCACTTCTTGTGTTATCAGACATATTTAAGTATGCACGTTTCTTCTGTAAATGCCATTTTTTTAAAAAATAATTGTATAAATATTGAGTAAATTAAGACATTAAGTATTTACATGAATCAACAAATATTTAATTCCCTGACCACACTAGGTTTCTGCAATAAGATACAGTGTCTGTTACAAGAAGCTGTTTTATTGTTAAATATGAAAGCATTTGCTAATTTAAACAATTGGCTTGGTGACACTTTATAATGATCATTAAAATAACTTCCAACAGCCTTTATTGATTTTCTCTCATTATGTTAGTCTTTGTGGCCATATGCCTCCTTGATCATTTCCTACCATACAAGTCTACTTCTGGATGTTATTTATGTAAGTATAATAATTAAAACGCTCTAATTTAGGGACTTGTGTTCATTTATATATATATATTTATGTAAATTTAATATAGTCTTATTTAAATGTTGTATCCTTTGTTGTACTGATAAAGGATTTTGCCCAAATGTTTAAATTTGTATTTTGTTTTATAAGTAAAGCTTTATTTATATTGTTTTTTTTACACAAATTTATGCATATTCTTTTAAGTACCAAGATCGTGGGTGCCAAGAAAAAGAAAAAAAAATTGTATGGAGTTAAATAATCTCATTTTCTTTAATAATATCCATATTCAATACTCTTGAGACTACGTTAGTAGTTCTTTTAATTATGCAGTAAGTTGTGTCCTGAAAAGACAGTGTTTATGCCTCAATACTATAAACATTTGAGAGCAAAAATAATGGGTACAAAATCGTATCCAGAAATTTGATAGAAAGAAATTCGTCGATGGTAAATTGATAGATGGTAAATTGATAGACGGTATAAATTGATAGATGGTAATTTGATAGAGCGGAAATTTGGTCGAATCTTTTTTTCAGTTTTTACGTTAAAATTTTGCTTCAAATTTCTTTTTTGAATGCATTATTTTGTTTTACTATATAGTATAGTGCGTTCAAAAAGAAATTTGACGAAAATTTTAACGGATGAACTGAAAAAAAGATTCTACCAAATTTCCATTCTATCAAATTTCCGTCGACGAAATTTCTTTCGATCAAATTTCCGGTAATCGTACAAAATACTTCTGAGGTTTAAATATAATGCAAGAAATTTTTTTATGGTGAATATATCATACATTTTAAACTAATTTCAATACTTACTTTAGATGAAACAGAATGATGCCATTATTAATGTAATTCATATAATCCATTATTGATTTATCGTCTTCCATGTGCACAGTCCTTTCATCAAGTCTTCCAACCATATCAAATTCATTAGGGTCCCAGTCTGTGTTTTGTTTTAGCAGAGCAGATTTTACCTAGGATGAAAAATACATAACATTAATAAAGGATATTGCATGCGAGAATTGTATTAACTCACATGTTTTAACTTTTCAATTTAACTTGAAAGATGGATTTAAAATTGACTTTGCAGACATATAAGTAATTTAATCAATGAAGTTACAACTTCTAAAATATATTGGGGACTTTTAATATGAAAAAAAAAAATTAAACCTTACATAAGCATTAGTATTTTTTAGTATTGCAGTTATCAAAAAATATAACAATAATTAATGTTTTCTTAACTGATTAATCCATAAAAACGGAATACAAGTTTTAATTTTTAGATCACATTTAATGTAGAATTTTAATTAAATTGGTACCAATCATTTTTTTTAATTTCACTCGTATACTTACATGTTTAACAATTTCTGCTACATCATTTCTACCAACTGTAATGTGCAGACTTTTTGGAGCAACTCCCTGGGGAAAGATAACATTAGCTTTGCAGACCCAATCACCACTTTCCTCTTCTGCCTCTGCCTCTGGATTACAAAAACAACAAATGTAAAGAATATGGATATTACAAATTAGCAGAGGGCCTACTAGCATGCTTGAAAAACAATTTGGGAAAGGCATTTTTGATTGATGCTAGAATGTATCAGAATAGTATTAGTAATTATTTTTTTTGTTATATGTCTAGAATGACATTAGAATTGCCTTGATAAGGTAATTTTAAGCTTTCTTTATGACAGGTAAAAAAAATTCATTTCCAATTTGTTAACAATTTTTTAAAACAAATATATTCCCATACTTCTCTTTTGTTTTCAATATTTTATTTATAATAGAAGAAAGAGGCATTTTCATAAAATGTCATTGTTCTGTATGGAATAAATGCTCAAAATAGTATCTTAAATTAGGTTCATCACACAAAAATTATCAGCTTCAATAAAATTAAAACCTGATATTTTCATCTAAGTTTACATATGAGATTTCAATAAAAGGGGTGTTTGAAAATTTAAAAAATAGTTGTTTTGTTTAAGGTAAAATGATTTGTATTTGTATTGATACAAAAATTTCTTAAAAGATGAATTTCTTTTTCCTCAAATTGAAAGGTGTTCAAATAAACACTTGAAGAATATTATTATTATTTTTAAAAAAAAAATTTTTTTTTGTAGGAGTGGAAGGTGCTGTAGTGTAGCCAGCATTCAGTTTTCCTGATACCGTTTACTTCCAAAATTGCGGCCTTTTCAAAGATAGAAATTTTTTTCCGTTTGTAAAAAATACATTGGGGAGAGGGGAGGGGGGGGGGTCGTAAAAATTTTCTTTAACTAAGAGCCATTGGTGTAATTTCTAAAAAAGAAACACTGCTAATGATGACTTTATTTAAGCGAAATTACGGAAATCCAAGGCGTCTTCACTGCTCATCCATAATAGTAGCCCAGATCAAAAGGGAATTGATCAGGAAAGAAAGGCACTTAATGTGATGGTTCTAACGACTGAAGATAAGCCACCTAGGAAACCATTCAAATGTGTGATAGTAATGCCTACATCCAATTTATGTCATTTACTCAGAGCCTTAAAAAAGTAATGAAACGACAGAATATATGTTTTCTTAAACTGATTTTTTTTTTAAAGTAATTAATACAATGTATTAATAACAGCATTATTATTTATTTGCAAACAAGTACTCATTAAAATGTTGATGAAATGATGCTCTTAAGAATTAATTTGTTTTGTAAGTTTTAGCTTCAAAGATTAACATAGGACTTACCAAACTGTCGCTGAGCTAGGGACATCTGATTCTGAAAACATTTAAAAATCTGTTTTAACAATGAACAAATTTAAAGTAAATTAAGTACACAATACGACATAAAAGATTCTAAATTCAATACTAAAAGTAGATATAACCATTATGATGGTATGTGTTCTTTCACATAATTATAAGGAAATAAATGCTATCTGCATCAGGTTGTAAAAAAAATATTGTGTGGTAAGGTTAAACTATAAGCTTAACTAGTGTATGACAATTGGTGCATGTGTTGTCATTTCAAACTTCATTTTGGCTATAAATCATTGCCTTACCTAAGCTTATGCCAAAATATTATTTAAAGCCTGGACCTATTATTACTCTATGACTATGAATATTTTCAAGTGGTTACATGAAAATTGTTTTTAAAAAATGTTGTTTGACCAAAGACTCCTTGAACAGAAATTTGTACGGTACAAACAAATTTCCGTTGAACTATTTTCCGTCTAACAAATTTATTTTGTTCAAATTTCTAGAAACATTATAGACTAGTAGTGGGTTTATTTTGATGTTAGAATAATGAATTGCAATTAAGAAAACTATGATTTTGGTGTGTTGAATTTGTAATGTAACCTGACAGTGCCTGAGCGTTATGCAAGGAAAAAAATTAATAGGCTTATAATTATAATGTGTATTATATTTTGTCAACAATGCATAAATTCCAATCTCACAAATCATAGCAAGGCCAATTGTGAATAGACTATCAAGTTAATTTATATTAGTATTAGTGTAGGAAGTGTACTCGATAAATAAATTTCGATTAATTACAGACCTTTTTAACCGTTAACTCCTAAAATCATACAAAATCGCCTCAAAATTGTACAATACAGTATCGTAATAGTAAATAAATAAACGTAGAGCATATATAATGTACGCAATAACTACTCTCATCACAGTACCTAGTGGGATCGAATTAACCTGGCGTCAAAAAACTTAAATTCTAAAAGTAAATGACCGACGTATATGCTGCAATCTGCTGTCACTTTGATTTGCAGACATGTATTTGCTATAGATATTAATTTATATTGAGTAGTTATACAGATGAATTTATCAGTCTATCACTCATAAAAATAAAATTACTGGTGAAATATAACTGATTCAAACTTAAAGTCAGATCAATTATTAATCATATAGATTTTTTTCCCCGCTTATTCTAAATATAGATTTCAAAGGCCCCTCAGATTCTATAAAATATGTTGAAATCTAATATTACTGCGCAGAATAGTTGAGAATCATCACAGTAATAATTATGCCATAACATAACACCATACAGCAATGAAGCAAACAAAGGCGAGAAGGGGCAATCTATATAGCGCATAGGACACATTTTTTATCCCCTTTCCCTTGTACCATGCATGGTTTTCTAACTACAACCCCCCTTCCCCCCCTCCCCCCGCAACCCAAAAAACAAAAAATAACAAACAAATCCAATAATCTTTATATATTTATGATGTTACAGTCAACAAAATTTTAATGTTACACGGATTTTCACCACTGGCTGTTTGGCATGTAAAATAGTTCCCAGAATATATGCCATGGGTGCTCGTTGCCCTCGGGCAGGGCCATGAAAATGGAGTAAAGAGCAACAGGCCCCAAAATTAGGGGCACCAAAATCATCTTTAGAAAGACCTTAATAGTGAATTAAACTATAAAATCCCATTTACTTCACAAAGACAAGGTGTGGTACAAACAATCCTTATACTGGTCTGCAGGGAGGGGGGTGTACATTTTTCTATATGGGTTGCTGTGACTTCCTCACTGGGGCATTGTGAAATATTAAATTAAAAATTGTTCATAATTTAATTTCCACTTTAAATCAAATGTGACATCTTTCGGATGTGATGCAAACAGTAATCAACTTGAATAAATACTGTTTGCAGTTAGGAGATGACACCCAGAGGCCTACATAAGTGTTATATTTATTTTTACCCAACTCATTATTTTATTTTATGTAGCCTACTCCTTATTTCGAAGTGTACTTGCTAGAATTTAACACAGTGAGCCTGTGACTTTGGCATAGGCGCAGGGAAATCAATTTGTAGAAGCACTGGTGTAGCCCAACAAAATAAATTTCACCTGTGCACTGTACATACAGTGGACTAAATATTACTGTAATACCTCTACTGCTTGGCTTACTTTGCTCAAATTCATGGCGATGTTATGGTGATAATTCCCACAAAACTTTGCTTGATATTTTTACAAAATTCGAGATATAAATAGGATGCTATTTATAAACTGTCAATACAGGATGAATATTGCGTTTTTTTTATAATCTACTTTCTATCAAGGATCCCCACCCCCAAAAATCATTACGAGAAAATGTGGCGGTGCTAACTTTATAGAATAAAATGATTACACTCCTGTCCCCCCCCCCTTTTTTTTTAACACAAACTCTCCTAAATCAACACCACTCCATTTCCCTCTCAGAGCAAATGTAATATATTGCCAGTTGTATTCCTAGATCCATTCATTGCTTGACGTAGAATGCAAAAGCAAGATACAACTAACAACTGATAATGTACTTTTTAATTTAAAAAAAAAAAAAATAATAATCGAAAAAAAAACTACAGGACTATGTATATTTTCAACCCTGTCTCTTAAAATCATAGTTCTGGCGGGTCGGGGCGTACAATCCTAAAAGACATCTCAAAATCGTACATTGTATGCCAAAATTGTAATAGTAAACATTAACAAGGTCTGCAATTTAATATAGGCCGTTATCTTGAAATTATTCAACTAAATTAGAATTATAAATTTAAAAAATTATAAATAAATAAAGTAACTAAGATTAAAATTAAAGTTTAAGTTAATTAAAAGTATACAGAAGTAGTTTAGTAGGATAAATAGTAAAACTAGTAGTTAGTAGCACTTTAAAAAATATATATATTCACTCAATTCAATCAATGGTAGAATATAGTATAGTATAGTCTATAGTCTATAGTAAGTTAATAAGCTAAGTTAGCTAGGCCTAAGCCTGAGTAGTTAGTTTTAGTATATGAATATGAATCATTGAATTTGAATAATACTGATACTTCATACAGTTCATACAATAAAAGTATACATTATACATACTGTACACTCATACAGCCATAGTTCATTCACTAAAATACAGTCGTTTTTTTTTTTTCAAGACTCAAAGTCAACCAACAGTCGAAATTACTGGTAAATGACTAATAAGTATACTAAATACTTATGAGTAATAAAATGATTTGAGTCAATCAGGACATGATAATGAATTATTATTATGAATGATTGTTAAAACTCTAAAAGAAAACATCAAGGATTCAACAAAAATGAATTCAAAAAATGCCAATTATACAAAGTTAAAATTTAAATTGGTAATTTTAGCTTAGTTAATTAAGTTAAAATAATAATAAAATAAAATTTATTGGTAGGCTTACATTACTGAATAAAAAAGAAGTCATGAGTCTAAATCTAAATAATCTAACTACCTTATTTTAGTAAAATTCTGTTGATGTTATTATTAAAGAGAAATGTTATTTCCTTCTAAGTTTAAGAAAATTGACCAATCAGAGTCACTGGGTTTGTCTATCAATCGGATTTTCCCATGTTACTGCTACGTATTCCGATGCAGGATTGTGAGATTCGACTTTTAAAGTTTAAATCAGCGTGGCCCATTCTGTACTGACTTTTATTTCATTCAAACATTTAATAACCTTGTATGATGAATTGTCTTTTTTATTTCCCTCTTTTAAATTCGTATTATTGTAAAGAATGAGATTATTATCTGGATATAATAGGGAGACTTTCAAATGACATCACAGGCAAGACTGTTCGCAGATGACACAGCAGTGTATGTGACGATCGCCAACAGATCTGACCAGGACCAGCTACAACAGGATCTCAATCTGTTAGCTGAGTGGGAGATGAGCTGGGACATGGAATTTCACCCTGCCAAGTGCCAGACACTACCAGTCTCTAGAAGTTGTACTTCTCTACACCACCAATACTAACTGCACGGCCATATACTTGAGCAAGTTTCCTCCGCAAAGTATCTGGGTGTTACCATTCAAAGAGAGGTCCACTGGGACGAGCATATTAACAATGTATGTAACCAAGCAAACAAGATCTAGGGTTCTTAAGGCGAAATCTAAAGATTGGCAACTCCTGTGTGAAAGAAAGAGCATATAAAGCCTTTATCCGTCCGATTTTAGATTATGCATCTTCAGTCTGGGACCCATTTACCCAGAAGAGCATTGACAGGTTGGAGGAGGTCCAGCGACGAGCATCACGCTTTGTCCTAAACCGCTACAGGAATACCTCTAGTGTTGGCAGCATGCTAGAAACACTAGGCTGGTCACCATTGGAGAAACGACGACGAAAATCCAGGCTCTCCATGATGTAGGCCTACAAGATAAATAATGGGCTGGCCCATTGCTCCGGTATTAAACAGAAACTCGCCCCTCTCCCCCATAGACAGCAACGAGGCCATGACAGGCAATTCAGGCTCATACCAGCAAGAAGCCAGTATTGGAGCTGCTCATTCCTGCCCAAGACAATCAGGGACTGGAACAATCTTTCAAAAGGAACGGTTGAGGCGACAATACTAGACACATTTGTGTCTATTGCCTCAAGCCTTCAAACCCCTAGTACATGATTTCCTCATCACCACCAGTAAGAGAAACATTGCAAATCCCATCCAAGTGCATAGGAGCCAAAATGATCAATAAATTGATCGTGGGCCCTTAAGATATAGAAGAAGAAATGAATAAATTTATTTTAAGCTATCCTACCCTTTCTATATTATATAAGTAAAATATAATAATTTGTAGCATTTTGATTATATACGATTTATCAAAGTGACCAGTTTTGAAAACAAATAAAAATATATAGACCTTTCTACAAGATATTATTATTTTAAAAACATTTTTACTCTAGTAAATTTGAACTATTTAGAAAATGTAATTATTATATGTAAGTTGCTAGTTTTATTTTCATTTGCTTTCAACGTGTAAAATGATATTTGCAGTGCGTTTGTGATGGAGACCTTTTTTTTAAACGAATTATTTTTTTAAAATAAATAAATTTTAAAATATATAATTTATTCATTAATTAAGTAGTGAAACGCCAAAAATATATAACAATAAAATCAAAACAAAATTAATATTTATTAGTATTATTTTCTATTAAAAACTGTCCACGTCACAACTTTAGCCCCCCCCCCCCCCCCAAAATATCCTAGGCCCCCTGCATTAGTTGGTGTTGCAGGGCCCACACGATGGCTCTGAGGTCAAGTGACGCATATATTTTTAACTATAATGGCATCTCTCTCCTGGTATTAAAGGTAGAATGATGCAAAACTAAATTAAAGTGTGTGCTAAAATTTAAAGGGGGGGGGGGCGGGGGCGGGGGGTAATTATTCATGGCAACAAATGGAATGAATTATGTTCACGTTTGTTTTTGGCGGATTTTAAAATGTCCCTGATCGTCATCATGATTAGCTTTGGAGCTTTCCACCCGAAAGTCTGAAATTACTGCCCCATAATTGCGCGAAAGAAACACCAAATTCAAGTATGCGATAAATCCACCCCTGCATTTTGAATATGCCCGACAGTATTCTTCACCCCCTTCTCTCACGCTGATCAATGTGACAGAACATGTTTGAATATATACTTGTGCCAAATGACCCAGGGACACGCCAAAATCAGAGTGAATTAAGTTTATGAATGACACCGAGCGTCATATCGTATCCCACGGACGCTTCAAAAATTCCTTTTCCTGATAAAAAATTATAAAAGTAACACTGAATTCGGATGTGCTCCAAAATTCACCTGTTGATTTTGAAATAACCAAAACATTTTCTGATCAAGAACACCCCCGATTTCTGCCATATTTGCTAATAAAAATTATCGCCAATTTTGGTGCCGGTTAGATACTCTGCCCAATGATGTAGCTAGTATATGTGCTGATATGTTAGGTCACGATGGTTTGCGCACTCCCTTTCACGATACAAACTTTGCAGTGGTGTTAAAGTGCCACCGCTTCATTTAAGAATCTTGTCCATTTCCTTTAAAATCTAAAACCCGTTATTTTCGTCCATTAAATAACATCTGTTCCATATGCCTCACCCCCGCTTTAGCGACGCCTCTGACCACCCGGAAAATCTGAATGTCCCCCGTGAGAAAATGGTCTGAAAGAAACACTGCATACCGCATATTTTAGAGCACATTTGATGAAAAGCTATTGCGGCCGGCATAATGGTACATTTAAATACTTCATTTTACAACTAATAAAGCCATTCTTTTTTTTCAATTGCAGAAAGTGGCTGACTGAAAGTTAAGACATTTTATTTAATTATTACTTTTCATTTTAAAATAATTAACTTAAATATTCAAAGGAAAAAAAAATTGAGGAAAAGCTATTGCGGCCGACATATTATTAAGTTTAAAATACTTCATTTTTTAAACTAATAAAGTTATTGTAATAAAATTGTACACAGTAGCAATGTCCAGCTAAAAGTAAAGAAAATTGATTATTTATTTCACTGGCTAGGTCTGAAATGCTTATAAAGTTGTGTTTTGAACACATCCGCTTTTTATTATACTTGATACACCCTGAAAAGAACGATAACTATGGGTGGCAAGGGAAGTAATAGCCCTCAGTTGAAGTGCCCTGCCCGTAAGGGGTTATTCGTCTCCAAATTTGAATAAAATCTGAGGTCACTTTGTAATTACAGAATTTTTTATTGTTTTTTTTTTGTCCGATATTTATTAATTGACAAGATAATTTCTTATTTCTGTATGATCATGACCATGTACAGGCCAGTGTGTATTTAGACTATAGCTGGATTGTGCGACATAATCGGAATATTGGTTGTTATCCATCCCTGTTTATCTTCTACTGCTCTTTATTAACTTCTTTGAAGACACGGCTAATGTTAAAATTAAAAAAAAAACACTGAAAGACTTTGACAAATTATTTGTGTCAAGCTTTGCTGAGGATGCAGTAACCAGATGTTCCAGAAATGGCTACATTGTCCATGTGTATTTCAGCAATGGAAAGAGCTTAAGTTATGTTACAGAGACACTGGTTAAATGTTTCCAAGAATCAGACAAACATTGTGTGCCAAATAAAAGCGCTGAAAAGGCCAGTATTCATGTTTTAGTGAATAAAATTAAGCGCTTAAATAAAAAAGTGTTGATGTAAGCTGGCATTTTATAGAAGATTTGCGATTGCGTCCTGTTCATGTACCTGTACCGAAGAAGAGACTTTTCATACCTGATATTACTCCAAGTGGCGACAACATTGAAGAGACCGTTATAGATTCACCACCTGTCAAAAAATTAAGAAATGACTTTGAGAAAGGGTTTTCTCTCAGAGAAGCAAGCAATTCCAGGTGCAGAAGTTTGGCGGACAGGCTAGGAACACAAACACCCAAGTTAAAGCCCTTTCTAAGCGCTTCAACCATCGTGTATTAAATCCGTCCTTTAAAAGAAAGACTGAAATGACTGAAATAATAAATATATTGAAGCTCCAAAAAAAAATCTTTGACAAGAGAGTTGAAGCTCCAGAACAAGACTTTGAACAAATGTAATGACTGTTCAGCTCGAATCAGCAAACTAGAGCGAGAGAAAAAGAAGTTAGAGCGCCATATCACATTACTGAGAAGGCAAAATTTAGCTCTAAAAGATTCATTAAAATTTACCAAGGAGGAAATAAAGTCAGCATTACATACTGTCGACAACTTGATGGAGGAGAAAAGTGAGGAAGCCATTCCAAACACAACTTCGTTGTCCCATTCATCGATTGCAAACAAACTACAAATAAAGACCTACCCTGCGCCAATGAGAAAATGTATTTACAACTGCCTGATAAACCAAGAACCAGTTGAAAGAGCAGGGGTTGTTATAGCATTTACAGAGAAGGAGTTAACAGCATTGGACTTGACCGACATTTCAGGATCTTCAACCATTGCAAACATGGCTTTAGAGATTGGAATCCTGTCGGATATTCAGGTGGCTGATATCATGTACTTTTCAGAAAACCTCACCTTCTCCTGGGACTCTTACGCCAATCAATGGGCAGCACTACAATGCTTGCCATATCTCTACAGGTGAACAGAGCCAATTGTTGGGCAGCACTACAATGCTTGCCATATCTTTTCAGGTCAAAAGAGCCAATTGATGTGCAGCACTACAATGCTTGCCATATCTCTACAGGTCAACAGAGCCAATTGATGGGCAGCACTACAATGCTTGCCATATCTCTACAGATGAACAGAACAAATTGATGGGCAGCATTGTAATGCTTGTCATACCTCTACAGGTGAACAGAACCTGACCATTGAAGTGGCTGGAGTTCCTCGAGGTAAGACAGAGGACTATCTGAACCAACTTGTTAACTCCCTTCAGGATCTAGCCACCCTGTATTCTTTATACAACAAGAAGGATCAACATGTTGTGTTACATCGTATCTTGCAGTCCTTTAGTGCCACTCTTAGTGACAGGGTGGAGGTCAATTAATGTGTTTCAATGCAGTTGGGTGATTTGTTGAACAAAAAGGT